GAGGCTGCACTGAGGATGTTATGTAGCATGGTAACGAAACGTCTGCGGAGCAACAAACCAGCTCGGTGAGCCAACCAACCTCAACACCCACAACCCGAGCTACAGATCTACTCCAAAACCTTGTTACTTTTAATTCCAAGCTGGATGTTGATTTGCAATTATTAATAGTTAACGGCTCACCAGTACCTCCTCTATACTAAGCATTTTCTAGATGTTATAACCTTAAATTCACATTGAGACATTGTGTCTTTTTCTTTTGAATAAAAAATCATTTTACTTTTTCTCTATCTGCTGCAATTTTTATGAACAACCAAGGAATGGTGAACTTATAATTTGCAAAAAAAAAAATGTCTGCTCTGGTTCCTGGTCTGCACAATATAAAACTTTTAAACATCTGCCTTAGGAAGTGCTATGAGAGGTCATTTTGATGGTCAAAGATAAAATGAGTGTGAATTGTTTCTACTTTTAGGCTGGATACCTGGCGGAGACAGATCATAACATTTAAAGATTTAAACCTCTTACAACTGGAAACTGTTTAGGATGGCTAGACAGTGGCAGCAGGCTAATATTTAGAGTGCTCACAAAGACAGAACTCCAAAGTAGGAAGGGCAAAACAAAACACTTGATAAGAATGAGCAAGATGTATAAAAAGTTCAAAATACTATTCATTAGGCTAACAGCTAATTATGGCAAAACAATATGTTGGTGAAAATCTTTGTAACTTTGCGGGGGTAGGTGGGCAGTATTCAAAGTAGGTCTATCTTTCATGGGGGGGGGGGGGGTAGGTTATGGAAGTGTAAAATAACTTAGCAATGAACCAAGGTATTTAACCTATAATAAAACAATACAGTTATAAAATAATATCCATTTAATTACTCATGATAGTTGGTCCATTTCTTCACAAGAAGAAACATTGTTGCAAAAAACTATTTCTTACTGTTACCCTACAGCCCCAGGATTTCACCACAATATCCTTCATAGAGGCTCAGAGGCTTAAACCCATCTTCGAAAAAAATGTGAATAAATATCTAACTAGGAACTAGACTAGACTAGTTTGCTTATAACACATGATGGCCCCAGGCCTGCTGGAACCAGAGTATCAGAGAATCAACCACATAAGATAGATATCTATGATAAATAATGGGAAAAGGCAGAGTTAGATACATTTTGGAAGTTTCTCTTGAACTATCACTGACAGTAAAAGAACGAAAGAAATCCGTGGAATCTTTCAGTATAATAAATGGGTTTAAAACCCACTCAGAAGTGCAGTCAGTAAACGGTCTGGGGAAATGGCTCGAGTGCAACCCGCTTATTCTCACTGTGTATTTTTTCCCGATTCTATTTACAGAAACAAACGTAGTTTGATTCATTGGTAAATAAAATAGCATTTTACTGGTGGCACACTACATCAATAGTTAAATTGAGACAACTGGAAAAAGCAAGATCATCTATTTATATAAACATCAGTGGACAACATTCTACAATCACCCCTATTTGCAATTACATACCCAACTGACTCCAAAGTGATAAATACAAACCCTGTTCCCACATTCTGTTGAAATTAGGATCTCCTGGAAAATTTCCATGATTGTCTTGATTATTTTCAATGTTATGTACTGCCTGTCCATTGGGTATTATGACTGGCTGTTGAGCTGTTACGGATTCCTCAGAGGCCTCTCGTTGCGCAATCCATGCCTGTGCTAATGCTGCCCAGTCAATCTGACCTGTAAAAAAGTTTTAAATCCAAAGACAATTCAAGACATCCATTATACGTGAAATGCTGCATTGGTGTGCAGAATATTGCTTCATTTTTCATGTGTAAGATCATAATCCATGGTTAGAGTGGTACTGTGGTTGCATTAAATGTTTAGAAATCCCGAGGCCTAGGCTGATGAACCAGAGAGTCATGAGTTCAAAACCCACCACGAAAGGTGGGGAAATTAATTACATAAATTAGAAATAAATCAGAAATAAAAAGCTGGTATTCAAATAGTGTCCATAAAATTATTGCACTGAACTGCTGTTAAAATTAAGCTGTCTGGTTCACCTCAGTCCATTTGAAAGGAAATCTTCTGTCTTTAGCCTATGTGGCCTACATATTATTCCAGATCCGCAGCAACCTGGATATCTCTGTACCTACCATATGAAATGGCCAAACGCAATAGTCTTAAAATATTTTCCACCAGTGGACCACTTACTCAAGGTAAAAGACCCTGCAGACCACCTACTGCTTCTACCTCAGCTGCTTTAGCTTGCTGCCGCATAGAGCTCATTGGAATTAATGACAATTTTTGGAAACTAAATCTTTTTTTCTTACTAAACCTAATAAATTCTTGTCTTTTTTTATTAGGCACACAACTTATTAATTCATACAAAGACAAAAGGAAAGACATTTCCATATTAGGAACGTGTTTTACCGTTTTTTCACAAAACATTATTAGAGTGATCTTCTTGAGAAATCCACACTTATCTTACAGCTATATTAATCAAACAGAATAACAGTAACTTAAATCTTGCTAATGAAACATCATTTCTGCTTCAGCTTAGGATGACTTGTGATAAATATGCAGAAGCCTGCCTGGTTATGAGATGGCAGTGGGCGGTGATGGTGATGTTTCTGACCTGGTTACTCATATGGCCTTGCCTGTCAGATCCACATGTCACTGACTTGCATTCTAGACAAGTACACAAATCACCACTGGTCCACAATTCATAGTTATATTCAAGCTGGCGGCTCAATGCTACTTTCTCAAGGGCAATTGGAGATGGGTAAGAAGTCTTGGCATTTCCAGAATTACCCACACTGAAGGGACGATTTTTTTTAAAAAAATGTAATTCAATATTTATCACATTTGGTAAACGATGTATTTTCACTTCAGAAGGAATCGTTAAGATTGGGATCCTGTCATTGCTGTCGTGAAGATGTCATGAAAGAACCCTGAACCACTGCCTTGCAACAGGTGACAAATTATGCTACTGGCAGAACTTTAAAGCATATTTGTTTAAAATTTATTTGATTTTAGCAATGCTGAAATAAATCAGTTACTATCTGTAGACTTTTCTTTTAAACAGTTAATTACAAATACTGTATTCATTTCATTAATGGAAACTTACTTGGATCTTGTTGCTGCTGAAATGACTGCATCCACTGTTGTTGGCTTAAAGGCCACTGCTGCCAAGGTTGACCACCTTGATCCCACATCATTGACTTCAGAGTTGCAAACGTTCAAAATCTATAAACAGAAAAATGTGATTGTAATATTTCTTCCAAAACGCCTGGACAAACGAGCAACTGTATAAGAGATTAGCTTATAAAGTGCAACGTAAATAAGTCAGTTAGTGCTTTGTGTCGTTTTCAAATACATTGACAAGAGGCACCTGTTAAGAATAAACAAATGAAGTATTGTGCACCAGCAGTAAACTTTTGTTTTAAAATTAGCCTTAAATGTTGAAAATATCAGGAAAACTTTCAGAAGTACAGGTCAAAACAATGCAATTGGAATCAAACGAGGACATATTTGAAGGGGTGGTCAAAAGTTTGATCATAGGAGTTTCAGGTTGACTTAAAAGGAGAATGGGAAAGTTAATCGATGGAGTGGGTTAAGCAAGGAATAACTTAAAGATGCAGCCTCTGGCACAAGAGACACTGCCACATGATAGGGTGATCAAGAGGGAATACAAAAAAAAATTCTTAAACCTAAGGACGAGAACTGAGTGTATCACAATCTTGGAAAAGGTTACAAAAACTCAGTTTCTGACGCAATGGCGAAAACTAAGGAGTGACCTGACAGAAGTATATAAAATTATGAGAGGCATGGATATGGTGGGTAATCAGAGATTTTCTTCCCCAGCGTGGAAATGTCAAATGCAATGGAGCATAGATTTAAGGAGAGGGGAGAAGCTTTAAGGAGATAGACGAGGCAATTTTGTTTTAAACCGATGGGTGGTAGGTGTCTGGAAAATGCTGTCAGAGGAGCTGGCAGAAGCAGGGATAATAGCAACATTTAAGATGCAGTTAGACAGATGCATGAAAAGGCAGGGTACAGAGGGATATGGACCATGTGCAGGCAGATGGGATTAGTTTCGAATAGCATCACAATGTGTGTGGAGACAGTGGACTGAAAGGTTTGTTCCTGGGCTGTACTGTTATATGTTTATAAAAGGGATTGCAAGGTCACAGAGAGATTTAAACAAAGGGGTGAGAATTTTGAGTTTATGGCTTTGGAGATCTGGAGACCGATAATGGTTAGTGACCACGAGGCTAAAGAGGCTGGTGGGATATGGTGCAGATTGGAAATCGACAGGGGTAACTGTGTATTGAACTTCAGAGAGTGGAAGTTGAAGCTATGCCATGACTCAAGTTGGAGTTGATAAAAGCATGAAAATTTGATTTGATTTATTATTGTCACATGTACCAGGATACAGTGGAAAAGTGGTTTTGCGAGCCATCCAGGCAAATCATGCCTTACATAAGTAGGTGAATACATCAGGGTAATAGAACAGAATTCAGAATATACTGTTACAGCTACAGATAAGGTGCGGAGAAAGATCAACTCCATTACACGTGAAGTCTGTTCAAAATTCTGATAACAGCGGGGAAGAAGCTTTTCCTGAATCTGTTGGTACCTGTTTTCAAAATTTTGTATCTCAGGCCCACTGGAAGAGGGTGGACCAGAGTATAACTAGGGTGGGAGGGGTCTTTGATTATGTTGGCTTCTTTTGTAAGGAAGCGGGAAGTACAGAATGAGTCAATGGATTTACATGATGGACTGGGCGCATTCACAACTAATTTTTTGCAGTAATGGGCAGAGCAATCGCCATACCAAGCTGTGACGCATCTGGACAGGATGCTTTCTACGGTGCATCTATAAAAATTGCTAAGAGTCATTGTGGACATGCTGAATTTCCTTAGCCTTCCGATGAAGTAAAGACGTTGGTATGCTTTCTTAACAGTAGTATCAATGCAGATGGACCAAAATGGTGTGATCTTTACTCCTAGGAGCTTGAAGCTCTCGTCCATCTCCACTTTGTGTCCTCCACTCTGCTTCCTGAAGTCAATGACCAGCTCCTTTGTTTTGCTGACATTGAGGGCAAGATTACTGTCTTTGCACAATGCCAATAAAAACTCTTACTTTCTTGTACCCTGTCTCATCAAGATCTGACTCACTATAGTGGTGTCATCAGCAAATTTGTAAATGGATTTGGCCACACAGTTGTGAGTGTATAAGGAGTACAGAAGGGGCTGAGTACGCAATCTTGTGGGGCACCAGTGTTGACGACAGAGGAGGTTTGGAGAAATTTCCCTGACGTAATTAGATGGTTTCGGTACGGAGAAGAGCCAAGGGACTGTTCAATGTCTAATCAGGCATTGAGGCAATAAGCAATCTGGTTCAGCATATATGATATTTACTGAGAATGAGTATCGAGTTAATGGCAGGGACATACATTCCGAGTCAGGATTAAAGGCATTGTTCCAAATATTTAGCTACAGAAATTTGAAATTAATCTAAGATTGGACGTTCGACAAGCCACAGAGAGATACAGCTAAGTTTCAACAGTACATGTACGCAAGATGATCCATTTGTGATTGATTATTTCAACAAGGGATAAAAGAAGTGGATATATCCTTGGAAAGCTCTAGAAATGCAACCGTGGCTAAGAGAGAAGCAAATTTCTTGGATTACCGGGCTATAAACAGTTAGACAGATGAAGTGAGGGCAGTTGCACTTAGTTGAGAAGACACTGGAAAGATGGTGTAATCATCATGTCAAAGAGTAAAGAAATCAACGACAAAGACTGGAAATTCAGCTGGGCCATAGACAACGTTGAGACTTTGGCTTGGTTCATATTACTATTATGGGAACATTCCAACAATCAACTAAACAATTCTGACAGGGAGTTTGTTAGAGATAAACTGAAGAGGAGCCTAGATTTTGAGGCTTCAAAGATTAACTTATCAGCCAACATCTTGCAATAGTTTGGTTAGTTACGAAGGGGTTAGTAAGGAGTGTAACTAGTCACTGGACTAGCATGTTACGGAGACAAGGGAATTTAAAACGCATCACAGCAGCTGATGGTATTTGAATTCAAATAATAAAGTTGGAACATAAAACTAGTCTGTGTGGCCACAACAACTGTGGTAAATTGTTGCAAAAACACATGTCTGAAAATATCCTTAAAGGAAGGAACTCTTTGATCCTTACTTGGTCTGACCTACGTCCAACACTGAGTCCATAGCAATATGGATGACTAGTAATTGCCCTCTGCAATGGCTCGGTAACATCTTGGCTCAAAGGCAATTAGGAAAGAACAACAAATGCTAGCCTTGCCAATTCCTAGTTCCAAGACAACTAATCATTCCTTCCATATCAAAAATAGAGATGCCATTTTTCTAGTGTAAAATTTCATGATTTCAACAATGAAATCCTGATTCGAACTAATTAATGAGATTACTTAATGCAAATATGATATAAATGGAAAAGAAATTGCAAGGTCATTGACAAACAACAAAGTCATATTTAGAATATCATACTCGAATTTGGACATCCTATCTGCATTAAGGTTGGCAAAATGCTTGCTGGGTATTGTTCTTGGAATTATAACACCACAACAGAAGAGACAGTCGGAGGAAAGACATTATCCTGGACACCAAATTAATCATAGGGAATAGATTATGTAGATTCAAGAAGGCCACTTAACTTGTGAATTCAGTTCATGGGAGTGTATATTTTAAAGATGGGAAAACTGCAAGGAAGACTAAGAATTCAAAACTTTTTAACCAAGTAGTGGAGATCGGTAACAGATTCTAGACATAACTATGATGTTGTGACAATTAACTGTTTGAAAAGGAAATATGTCAGCCAAGTACATACTAGGGTATTGCAGATTTTTTGGGTAGGTAATAAGATGTTCAAGTGGAGACAAAGCCACTACTTTTTCAGAGAAATGGGACAATCGACCTCTGTAATTCAGCACAGCATAAGGGTATAGCTTTACATTAGCTGAATAAGTCAAGTCCCATTTTTATTACATGTACTGGAGTTTTGATAGCAGCTTGGGGATTGCACTCAGTGATTTCATCCAAGCCTTCGGAAGGAAGCAAAAATCAACACCATTTTTATAATTGAAAAGATGCATAACGGAGTTTGCTTTCACTCTGGAATAAAAGTCAAAGTTGGCACAATTTGCAATAAATTAAATCAAGTAGCAAAGGTTAATGTTTTAAATTGTACACAATCTGCTGAGGGAACAGTCCTAAAACTGATCCTAAACAGTCCTAAATGACTGATTCTCATTCCATCATTCTCTTTTTCTTTAGTTGCAAGAAATACATCTTTACTTACTCCCTATTGTCTCTTGCATACAAAATCTAAAATAAATCTGTTACAAACATTTTTCGTGAATGAAAAAAATTTAGCTGATCATGTGCTCATTCAACTCTACTACAAATACATATTTACTCTCCTTTAATTGAGCAGAATACAATTACATTCTGTAACATAATTCTAAAGCAATAGTTCCTGAAATTCAGAAATAATTCATTGGCTGCAACATACTTTAGGATATTCTCAGAAGGGATGCAGTAAATGCAAGATTAATATTTACACAAATTATTCTAGCGGTCTGTTTCACAATAACTAAAAAAAATTAGTAGCTCATACAGCCCCTTGAGCCTGCTCTGCCACTCCTTACAATCACGTAGGTCTACAGCACAGAAAAAGACCTTTTGGCCATTCATGTTTGCACCAGTCAAAAACAACACCTAACTATTTTAATCCCATTTTCCAACACTTCGCCAAAGCCTTGTTTGACTTGGCACCATAAGTGTACATCTAAATACTTTTTAAATGTTATGAGGGTTTCTGACTCTACTATTTTACGAGGCAGTGAGTTCCAAACTTCTACCACCCTGAGTGAAAAAGGTTTTCCTCTCATCTCGTTTAAACCTCTGTCCCTTATCTTAAATCTATTCCCCGCCCGATCATTGATCTTTCTAAGGTGAAAAGTTTCTTTCTACACCTCTCATAAACGTATATATTTCAAGCCTGAATTTCTAAGACCAGAACTTTCAGTAAGTTCTGGTGACAAACTTCATTTGCTGGCTAGCAAACTTCAACCTTTCCCTGGCAACGGTCCAAAACTAAACTAAACCAGTCTGTTTGCAATGCCCAGATCATATTTGAGCCAGAGATGAGCTTCTGATCACATGGTTACATCACAAACACTCCTTATTTCACCCTATGCCACATCAGTCATGAACATGGTGGACAATTAAACAACTTGCTGGAGGAGTAGGTTCCACAAATATCCCCATCCTTGATGATGGAAGAGCACAGCACATCAGTGCAAAAGGTAATCAAGTAATCACAGCAATCATCAGCCAGAAATATTGAGCAGATAATCCATTTTGGACTCCTCCAATGGTCCCCAGCATCACAGATACCGATCTTCAACCGACTCAACTCTATCCACCTGATATCAACAAACTGTTGGAGGCACTAAATACTGCAAAGGTATGCATCTTGACAACATTCCAGCAATATACTCAAGACTTGTGTTCCAGAACCTGCTACTCCCTAACCAAGCTCTTCCAGTACAGTTACAACATTGGCATCTACCCAGCGTGGACAATTGTCCCAGTATGTCCTGTACACAAAAAGCAGGACAAATCCAACCCAGCCAATAACTGCCCAGTTTACTCCCAATCATCAGTAAAGGGATGGAAACTTGTCATCAACAGCATTATCAAACATCACTTGCTCAGCAATCACCTGCTCACTGACATCCAGTTTAGGTTCTGCCAGGGTCACTCAGTTCCTGATCTCATTACAGCCTTGGCTCAAATATGGATAAAAGAATTGAATTCCAGAGGTGAGATGAGAGCGACAGTCCTTGACATCAAGGCCGCATTCGACCGAGTGTGGCATCAAGGAGCCCTAGCAAAACTAGAATCAATGGGTTCAGGGGAACAAACTCTCCACTGGTTGGAATCAAGACTGGCACATAGCAAGATGGTTGTTGCTGTTGGAGATCAATCATCTCGGGTCCAGGACATCTCTACAGGACTTCCTCAGGGTAGCATCCTCGGCCCAATCATCTTCAGCTACTTCAATGGCCTTTCCTCCGTCATAAGGGCAGCAGGGTGGCTCAGTAGTTAGCACTGCTGCCTCACAGAGCCAGGGAGCCAGGTTCAATTCCACCCTTGGGCGACTGTCTTTTGGAGTTTAGACATTCTCCCCATGTCTGTGTGGGTTTCCTCCAAGTGCTCTGGTTTCCTTCCACAGTCCAAAGATGTGCAGGTCAAGTGGATTGGCCATGGGAAATGCAGGTTAACAGGGAAAGTGTAGGGGGGTTGGTCTGGGTGGGATGCTCTTTGGAGAGTCAGCGTGGACCTGAGAGCTGAATGGTTTGCTTCCACATTATGAATCTAAAGTCAGAAGTGGGGATGTTCAGCAATGAATGCACAATCATCAGTTCCATTTCCAATTCCTTAGATACAGAAGCAGTCCATGATCAAATGCAACAAGATCTGGACAATCACGAGCCTGGGCCGACCTGGGACAAGTAACATTCTCTCACCACGTGGCCATTGTCAATAAGGGACAATCAAATCATGGGTTAATTTGAGCTGTGTTTATCCATTTTAGAATCAGACTGGATAATGCTTTCCAGTCATGTAAATTTAAAGGTACCATTATCTGGTCCATTTAATAATTCTGAAGAGTGCTTCTGCACTTCACAGTTACTCAAAGAATCATCAAAATTAAGGAACATACCTCAGTGGCAACAGTAATCTCTACAGAGTTTACATCTCAACGATGCCTGGTTTAGAAACATTTTAGCACATTTTTGTTTTTGCAAGCCATTGTCCAAACAGGGGACAAAAGTAATCAAATTATCATCATCATTCAGTCAGGAGTGTTCTGAAGTTCTTTGAAACTCAAGTATTCCTTTCTTGTTAACACAGAGTAGCCGTTCAAATAACAATAGACTTGAATCAAAAACAAGTATTTCTAAAAAGAAATGAAAAATAATGCAGCCTAATCAAAGGCAATATGAAGTTGATGTAAAATGGTTTCCTGGTTGAGGCTCACATTAATGGTAGATTATGGCACACTGCTAGAGTCACTGGAATAGTAATCCAGCGGCCAAGACTAATGCTCTAGGGACATGGGTTCAAATACCAGGACAAACGCTGGTGGAACTTAAATTCAAAAAGAGTAAAATCTTGAATGGAAAGCCACTGTCAGCGTGACTGTAAAAAGGTCATCAATTACTGTAAAAACCAAATTGGTCCACTAACTCCTTTAGGGAAGGAAATGCACTGCTCTTTCCTGATCTGGCCTACAAGTGAATCCTGGCCCAGTGTAATGTGGATGATTCTTATTTGCCATTGGAATGGCCATATGAGTCACATTGACTTCCTGCACCACTGTGATGACAGGAGATACTCTGCACTAATTTTGGATATAATACTGGATTCCACCAAGGTAATGAACAGCTCAAGAATGGATTTCAAAGTGTACTGATGGGGATGTACAAGACATATGTTAGAATTTTGATTCGCATTAGCTTATGGAAATCCTAGTAGGTGCTGCAGAATCAAATAGGCAAGTAAAGTGGAGGAAGAGAAACTTTTCGCAAATTTTTTTCCTTCAAAAGTAAAGTTCCAATGGAGTATATATTGTACAAGGATTTTCTTTGTACGATGTGAAAAACCAAGGATCGGGCAAAAGATAGATTTATGGTAAACTGGGAACTTATGGAGAATGACAATTAGAGTAAAGCAGGCCCTTGTAGATTAAGATGATACTAAAATGACATGGAATTGGGTCACCACTGTCTGAAGCCTATGATGATAACAGAATAACACATACCTGCCAAACTGTTAATGAAACCAGTAACCGGAGCCTTGAATTCTTTCCAGACAGCTCTAAATAACCCTGTAAGTCAACACTTTTACAGACAGGGTAATTTTAAATAGAAAAATATGCAACAGTTGTACTGGTAAAACTGCTCCTTGAACTGCAGCAGTCTGCCTTAAACTTGATGGTACCTAAACCTGAAATCATACTCAACCTATACTTAAAAGTACATTTAAAAACTGAGGTAGTAGAGGTGTGTACCTCATGGCTGAGATTCTCTGCAAAACAAAACTAATGTGAATTAGCCTACTTTAGTAACGACATGAAAACAACTTGATTCAGGGACATCCAAGATGATAATTTACTACCCATCAAACACTTGAACTGACAAAAAAAAAGTTAAAGTTCAATAGTCAATGTATATAAATATGACAACATACATGTGTAGGCAGCAACAGCTCACTTTTGTTACTGATACGAAAAGGCTTGCTGATAATCTACAACAGATTATCCAAAAACAGGACAATTTGTTTCAACTATGCATAAACTGTTAACAATTCTCATGTAGTAAAATAATCATCTCCTCATCAAACATGATGCATCCCTGAAATAAATGTTACGTTTAGATAAAGACTAATTTTAACAGTAGTAAAGTAACGGAATTGCATTTAATAATAAACTATTCAGTTTCAGGTACACATCTTGGCTATATTTCGAACGAGGTTAGCCCAACATTACAGAATGGAGGGGGAGGGGGGTGGCGGGTTATTTTTTAGCCCAAACGGACATTTTTCGAGCAGGAGGTGCATTACCCTGAGACAAGGCCCAGGCCGAGCTCAGATCCTCCCGGCGGCTGCCTGCTCCAACGAGACGCCCGGGTCCCCTAACGAGTCTGAAATAAGGTCTGGCTGCCCCACCCCTCGGGATCGAAAGGGGTTAATTACCGGCACCGGGTACCCGGGTCACGTCCAGACACCCTCCCGGTGCCCAGGGAGCAGAACAGGCCAAAAACCCGCCGCCGCCATCATATTCAGCAGCCTGCGGGGTGAAGGCAGCGGCCGCAGACCGGGCTCGGTGTCTCAGTGCCCTTGCACCCCGCCCGGGAAAAGGTGCGGGTCTTCGGGATCATGCTGCCAGCTTCACCCCCACCCCCTACAGCCTCCACCGGCTCCCCGCTCGCTCACTCACCTCCCGTTCCCGGCCGGCCGCCCGCTCGCTCCGAGCCCGACAATATGGCGCCGTCACCCCTGACCCGGAAACAAACCCCGGCCCCTCCTGTGCCCGTGCGAGGAACCCCCACAGACATAGACCCCCTTACCCGGAGGTACGGTGGGAATGGGTCTGTACCGTACTTGGGTGGGGGCTGCTGATACAATGGGGGATCTACACCGCCCCCTATGATAGAGTGAGGTCTGGAGTGTTCTGCACCAACCCATGGTTGAAGAGCGAGGTAGTGTTTGCACCCCACGTAAGGTCTGGGCATATCTGCACCGCGAAGGGTGATGTACCTAAGTATCACCTCCCCCCCACCTTCCCTTTAACAGGAGGAGTAGTTTCCAGTGAAGGGTCTAGGCCCGAAACGTCAGCCTCTCTGCTCCTATGATGCTGCTTGGCCTGCTGTGTTCATCCAGCCCTGCACCTTGTTGTCATAAATACAGCACCTCCGCCACACCCCACCCCTCACCAAACAAACACAATTACCTATATCCTGACAAAGTACAATTTCATACACCTTCCATAATTTCAATCACAAGAGAAGCATTTTTGTTCGTACTTCTGTCAATCTGTTCTACTGTATCCACTGCTGGCAAAGATAAGAGTCTTCTGCATGGTAAAATAACATTGGGCTCTTCCTGTCATCAACGTTATCACTGGTCATGAAGTATCAATCTATTCAAATCCCATTTTCCAGCATTTGGCTCAAAGCTTTTCAAGACTTCTCAGATACGAGAACATTCTGTGTCCATGTGCAACTAAACTTGGATAGTGTCCATGCTTGGGCTGATAAATGGCATGTAATATTGGCACCATACAAATATCAAACAACAACCATGGTGTTTTATCTAAATATTTCTTAAATGACTTGAGGGTTCCTGCCTTAACCCTCGTTTTAGTCAGTGAATGATGTGAGAGACCAAATGCAGGCTGGGTGACATTTTGCTGGTTCACCTCACTCAGTCTGTAAGCGTGACCTTAACATTTCAGTCCTTGCCTTTTGTTGGAGGCATTCTGCAGTGTTCCAGTGATGCCTGTGATAGGCTGGAGAAAGAGCACTTCATATTCCAATTAGGCATTTTATAGCCTTCTAGACTCAACACTGAGTTCAGCACATTCGGATCATGAATTTTGCTGCCCATTTTGTTATTTTGTTTCTCTGCAGTGTATCTTGTTTTCATGTTTTTGCTTTCAGTCAGAGCTGATCTTTATTCTGCTAATACACTTGATTTGGACCAATGATTTGTTTGTTCACTGCAACAACAGCCACTCAGTTTGTAATAAAAACAAACAGTGCTGGAGAAACTCAGCAGGTCTGATAGCAATTGTGGAAGGAGAAACAGAGTTAACATTTCAAGTCCAGTATCATTCTTTGGAAATGGACTACTTGGATTGTCTTTTGTTCCATGATACCTTTGATTTCTAATCTCACTTGTCTTTTAACCTTTCCCTGACCATCCCTTTTATTCCACTTGCCCATTGCCTCTATTTCAACAGTATAAATTACGTCCCATTTTCACCACTTTTCAGTTCCAAAGAAGATTCATATTGGACTCAAAATGTTAAGCTCAGTTATTGCTCCACAGATGTTGCAAGACTTAGTGCTTGAATTTCCCAAGCACTTTCTGTTTTAATTTCCCCACCTCATCAGTCTACTCTCACTCATCATGAATTGGTGGTCGACAGTGATGTTAAGCAGTACATGTTCTGCTATAACTTATAACAGATGTTTATTTTGGCTTCCTCCTTGGCCACTCAGCTTCTGATCTCAGCCTATCTCCAACACGGACAAAGGAGTTGAACTCCGTAGGTGAGGAAGCGATTGAGCAAATGTGGCAACAAGGAACCAGAGCAATGTGAATCAGGAGGAAAATTCTCTGCTTGTTAGATCCATGCCTAAAACAAAAGAAGAGGGTTATTGTTATTGGAGGGCAGTCATCTTCGACCCAGGAGAGTACCTCAAATTCTTTGAGGACTTGTCAAGGTAGATGCAGCAAGGTTATTTCTAATTGTGGGAGAGCCTATGACCAGAGGACATAATCTCAGAATAAGGGGTTGTACATTTAGGACAGCGATGAGGAGGAATTTCTTCTATTAGAGGTTAAAGAATCAATCAGTGGAATTCTTTACAGCCGTTAAATATATTAAAGGCTGAGATAGATTTTTAATCAGTAACAGAATCAAGTGTAATGGGGAAAATGCAGGAAAGTAGAGCTGAGGGTCAGCAGATTCATCATGATCTCATTAAATGACAAAGCAGACTCGATGGCCTACTTCTGCTCTCTCTTATATTTTACGGTCTGAGGCCCAGCTATCTTCAACTGCCTCAACAATGACCTTCATTCCATTATGATATCAGAAGTGCTGATGTTAAAGTGCGGATGATTTCACAATGTTCAGCAACTTTCAAGACTTCTCAGATACCAGAACATTCTGTATCCATATGCGACAAGGCCTGGACAATGTCCATGCTTGGATTGATAAATGACATGAAATATTGGCACAATAAAAATGCCAAATAATGACCGTCTCCATTAAGAGAGAATCTAACCATTGCTTCATTAAGTTGTTGGATTATCCTTCATGACAGCACTATGAGTGTACTTAAATCCCTTGGATAACAGCAGCACAAGGTGGTTGACTGTCACCTTCTTGAGGGCAATTAGGGCCGGGCGATGAATCCTGCCCTGGCCAGCATTGTTCAGAACTCTAAATGAATAGAAAACAAAAACTTTACCTTTGGTGGAATTCACCGAGTTGCACTTTCATCTTTTGGCTTGTAACTCACGCTCCCTTTCCCTCCTTTCTCAGGTATCCAGACATGGGTTGCCAAATCCAACTGATCGCTTTCTGGAGGTTTGATCACATGATGGATTTAAGCTGGTGGCCTTTTTCATTTAATAGGGTCCCAGTTGGTTCAGTCGGACTGGAGGAAATGAATGCATTGTGGTTCTCATTACCACATTGTACGGTGATGGGGAATTTTTATCCCAATAAATTTTAACTCAGGATAGTTGTCAGTATTTCTCTACCTTATTATTTTTGAGCTCAGATGAATACCAACATGCAGACTCGTTAAATGTCTTATGTCAATGTTACCATTGGGACCTGATAATTATTTTCTTTTGGTTTGATTCAAGTGGCCTCTCTTTTATAAGGAAGTAGTTCTGATGGAGTTGTGTTTTGCCAACCAATTGGAAATTGCAACTCTAATCCATTGGTGTAGGGCAAAATACAATTTACGTACCTGTACCATACATTTGTTTGGAGTCTCACCTAGGCACCTGCTTCACTGAGTGCAAAGTAGACTTCATTGTCAGTTGGGGTGGCAAGAAGCTATAAATTTCAAATCCAAAGGCCATTTTAAATAATAAATGTGATACATGTGATTCAATATCAAATTTACATTCCATCTACACACAATATATATTTGGGAGGCAATGGTTGACTAGCAGTAATCTCAGTGGAGTAGCAATCCAGAGGCACAGGTTATATGAAAACAGGTTCAGATTTCACTATGGCAAAATGAATTTTATTTATATCAGGAATTTACATATTTTTAAATGTCACAATGATGTTGACTTTTAAACTATCATTAACTGTCATAATAAAAGTACCTGGCTTACTAGTGTCCTTTAGCAAAAGAAATTTTCACTTTTTTTAAACATCACTATACTTTTATTTGGGAGCACCAACACCCATGATTTAGTATAAAGCCAATCAGTTTGCAGCAACAACTGGCCAGCTGATTGGGCAGCACAGTCAGGTATGGTTTGGTGTCATTTGGAAAAAAAAATCTAAGGATATTAGGGTGTGGTGTAAAGATTATTACTTTGATGAAAATTAATCTATCTCAGATTCAAAGTTTAGAAATGAATAGTGAGGTCTGGTCTCTTGACCTTTACTGTTTGGTCATTGGCTTGATGCCAACCGCAGCCTCTTCATTCCTTACATTCAGAACAATTAGCAATATATCTTCACCAGCATTGAATCTGTGCACTATTTCCTTTCCCAGATCAAATTTTGCTACTTTCAGATTTGCTTACCTTACCATTGTCTGTCATCAGAGAGAGATAGCCATTTGCAATTCCAATCAACTGATAATTATTTACTTTGACTTTGGGGAGATCAATGTTCTTGGTAGAGGGGCAGAAAACTTCATATTTCTTTGAAGCGAATGAGTCAATACCAATCATGTGAATCTTGGCAGTCCTGTGCTTGCCAGTCTTGAATGTAGACATTTCAACAAACCTGCAGGGGTGCTCTTTCAGAAACTCAAATCCATTCTTGTGCAAAGAGGAACACTATGTTGGAAAGGTGGCAGGGTCCCAGCATCTCTAGTGGTGAAATCTAGATTGTCATCCATGGTCCTTGAGTTTTAGTGGCACCACCTCCAACCAATTGCCAAGAAGGTGCCGCCATAATCTGCAACCCGACCTGGTCTGGCCTACATGCGACTCAAGACCCACAGTAGCAATGTGGTTGACTCTGAAATGGTCTGGAAAGTCACTCAGTTCGGGGGCATTTAGTGGGCTACACCCACATCACACAAAATAATGAAATAAAAACATACAGATATGTTTCCAGGAAGAAAAGAACTAACTATGGAGGATTTTCCAAATGTTTCTAACTTAACATTAGAAAGAAAAACTTCACTATAAACTTCACTTCATTACACTTTGACAACTTCTCAGGCTGAATTAAACGATATGCAACCACTATTCCATGCCTATATCCTCTACAATATAAAAACTGCATGTAAATTTCAAACATGAATCCTCTAGCCTTCATCTTCTGACCTCCTATTATCCATAAACTCTATCTTGCTAAAACCTCTGTTGCAAATATGCTATCTTGCACTAAGTCCTGCTGACACTCATTCCTTTTGCTAAATTAAATTGCTTTGCCAGTGCTCTAAATTTAAAATTCTAATTCTCATTTGTCCCAAATGGTCTCTCCCAGTATTTATACAACATATGCCAGTCTTTAAACATGTTACAGTCAATGCTTTTTGTACAGTGTGTCAACAAACAATTACTTATTGCTCTCTTCGAACAAAGGAAATATATTAAAGAGAATAAAAAGCTTGCTTTATAGACACAAATTTTAGATCTATTTTCAGGATTACAGCTTTACACCTCCCTAATCAGGCATTATCTAGTGCAGCAATACATTACTTCTAGTTTTCTCTGTACTGTCATCCAGTGGCTCTTCATTAATGTTTATTCATATTGC